AGTTCTATGGTTTCAGCTCATGGAAAGTATATGCAATTCCCCTTCCATGTCTACAAGTTCTATGGCGTAGACGCGCCTGGCGCGGTGAAGGAAGGGTGGGGGGAGGACGCGCGGGCCAATCGCGCGGCGCCGCGACGGGCCAATCGCGGGCCGCGGGCCGCAGGCCTCGTCCCCCGTTCGAAACGCACGTGCGGGCCGCGGGATTCGCGCGCGCTGGAGTAGTGTGCCGCCCCGTGGAAAAGTCGGACGTCGTCGTCGCTCTCCGTCCCGGACGAACGATTCAAAAGGGTGTGCGTGCGCGTGACCGTATAAATCGCAGCGAGAAGAGCAAAAGGCCGACGGCGAAAGAAAGGAAAACGGAAAGAGAAAACAAGGCTCGCGGAGCGAAACAGCCAGAGCAACGGAAACTCGCGTCGTCACGGTATATCCTGTCGCCGTCGCCGTCGCCGTCGTCATCGTCGTCCTAGTCGGTCCCGTTCTCTCCCCTTGCGTTGTCCGAGCTGCCTAGTCGCGGAAATGGCAGTTGGCGCGCAGATCGACACGTCCGAGCAGGAGACCGGCGGCGCGAAGATACCCCTGCTGAACGGCGATCAGGTGCACGAGGCCACGAAGGTGACCGGTCAGTACCGAAGCTAGATTCACCGCGCGCGCACGAGGGGCTCCTCCTTTAAGGTTAATCCGCCGCCCTCTGTCCCCGGTCCCGCGTGCGTTATGTAATCCCCGACGGGGACGGCGCCGTCCTCGCGCGTCCGCGACGTGGACGGCGTCGTCGGGACGGTTTCGCTTCGTCGTTCAGTTCGGCCGAGCGCCGAAGCCGGCCTCGATCGAGCGAGGGAAAGAGAGAGAGAGAGAGAGAGCGCGCGCGCGCAAGCGAGAGCGAGATAGAGCGCGAGGCGCGTTATGTAACCCCACGAATTGCGCGAATCTCGGCGCACGGGGTCATGTGAGCCGCAAGTAGCACGAGGAGGGACGCCAGCGGAAGGGGGAGGCCTAGCAGAAGACGCGCCGCGGCGCCAACGGACGAATCTCCTCGCCGACCTTCCTCCCGCGGCCCGCGCGACGCCCGTTTTTCCTCGGGGAAAAGCCGAAAATGTTGAATGAATTGTATCTGCGTTTCCTCCCTTTCCGCTTCTCCACGTCGCGGCCGCGTCGTCGCGTTCTTCGCACCCGCGAAAATCGCGGAGCGGACGTTTCTTTCGGAGCCCGTCGCGTCGCGGAGAGACGCGGAGACGGGAAAAGTCGCCGGGGCGAGCTCGGTCTTTCGGGTCGAGCCGCTTCTCGCGAGGTGCAAGGTCCTCTGCATCTCCCGTCGCGACGCGAGTCGGAAAACCGGTTGCGTTACGCCCGCTAAGCTCCGAAACGCGCGGCGAGGAGACGCGACGAGGGTCAAACTCGGAGTCGCTCCGAGACGTGGGGCGACTCGGAGCGATAACTCGCGAGGCCATCGACGGAGCGTCTGCGACTCGGCAGCAGCGGACGCCGAACGAGATCGGTTCGTGGATCTTCGCGCGCGCGACGGGGACCAACGCGTCGCGCGCGCGTGCCGCAATCGAGCGTTTACGTAATGTCTACGTCTCTCCAGGCGTGCTCGATGAAAACAACGACTCCTCCTCGTCGGCTTCCCGCGACAGATCTTGAGTTTCGGGGCGTGACGTAACGTGTGACTTTGGTCTTGGTTTGAATTCATCCGTTGCCTTTTCCCGAGGGGACAGTTGGAAACGGACGAAGGACGAATGAAACTAACGAGGCGACGTTTGCGAAGGGACGAATTAAGTCAAGTTCAAAGTTAAACGGCCCTGGTGAAAAACTCGCCATCGGACCGAGCTTGGATACGCGTATCGCCGCGTTGATTTTGACCCTGGATTTTCACCAGCGTCGTTTAACTTTGAACCTGGCATCATTTCGTCCTGTCGCACACGTCGTTCAACTTTGGACTTGGTTTAATTCGCCCCTCGTTTCCGACTGTCCCCTCGGAAAGAGACGAAAGATGAATTAAAATTAAGGCCAAAGTCAAACGACCTTGGCGAAGGCGGGCATCGACGACGCGAATTTCCATAATCCAACGTTATAAGATAGTAATGTGCGTTATAAGATGAACGACCGAGCGTGATGCAACGTCGATGCGGAGTGACGTCAATGCATGCTGCAATGTACTCGCGGTCGGGGCGAATGTTGATGTTCAAGAGCAAAAATACTTTAGAATGATTTGCGAGACTCGTCTTGGAGACGTACAGCGACGATTGTTGACGGGCGCAATCCTGTGTGAAGTTACCCCGATGCCTTTTGGATTATCTGGCACCTTCGGATCTGCCACGGGGCATTTGGATAATTGGTTTTGTCAGAATTTGCCTCCTTCGCTCTATCGATATAAGTAAAAATACATATATATATATAAGGGCAGGAGAGAAGCAGTGGAGCACATGCTTCTCTCGCAATCGAAGATCAACAACGGGGTATCTTTGAAGGATAACTTATCGAAGGACACTCTTGCCCCCGGGACACCCGGCTCTTCCCTTTCGAATGAACGGCACGTGTGCGCTCAAAAGTTTGAAATTTGGCAAATTGTCGACAGAGCGGAAGAGGAGTCGTCCCAAGCAACGAGCACGGTTTCGTTCCGCGAGGCTCCAGTTTGCACGGACGGTTTAACCGCTCAAGAGTCGCAGGAGTTGCGTCAGAAGGAGCGTCCCGGGAGACCTGAGAAACCTGAAGCGCGAGCTTCCCTGTGGCGGCCGGCTCGCGTATTTGCAGGCTTAATTAGAGACGCCAGGAGGGAAGAGAGTCTCGTGTTAACGATCCGCCTCTTATGCACGTGTGTTTCGCGAGGGGAGGGTGAGGGGAGGAAAGGGAACAATGCCCGCGCGGGATCCGCGGAGTATCGATAGCCGCCCGGGGTTATCGGCGCCCCGACTTATTATATTGTGTGCCGCCGAGTTTGTACGCCGAGCAAACATCCCTCGATGATAACCGAGTCGGGCTAACTGGCGCAATTGCGGCGGCGAACGCTGACGCCTCGTACTTTCACCTTTGAGCTTGCGTGTTTAAATCGATCCTCCTCACGTGTCTCTCCTTCTCTCCGGCGCGCCGTGAACTCGCATAACTCCCGGTACAGTAAACCCGGTCCCGCTTGGACTCTATATTTAGCGGTAAATAGCATATAGCCGTCCACCCCGTATATCTGTCTTCAAGTTTATGTACTACGCGTCCGTCTTTCCGATTTCTTGTGACACAGATTCTGTTGTTCGAGCAGACCGCCTGCGAAAGTGTAGGAGCGCCTTGTGGATTACTCCCGGATATCCGTGTTCTCGATCGATCCGACCTACCACAAAAGTGGCGACTTAAAATTCGCTCCTCAGACGGAAAAGATCCTTCGTTATTCATCTCAAGGGTCTAATGTCGCCTCTTAATTCATCGTGCGACTCTTTACGGCTTTAATATTAAATATCTTTAACGTTCAATTTTTTTATCCCCCTTTTTTTTGCTTGGCCCGGTTTTTCATTCTCTGGTTAAATGTTAACCGGAGGTTGATCGACTCTCTGCCTCTTCTCGGCTAATAACATAGAAACAGATGGAGAGAGTCGATTAACTTCCGGTTACAATTAATACCAGAAAATGGAAAACCTCGATAAAGAGAAATAACAAATCTGTTCGAGTTATAGTTTTTACGCTTCCAAATTGTGCCTCGGGTTCTCTCGTCCAAAAACGATTCCCGGTACACGGTGCGCATATGAAATTGAAAACAAAATTACCGGGAGATTCAGTCGAAAGATTGTGTGAAAATTGTAAAATTATGTGAAGGCGTGGCCGATCGTTTTCCTCGCCACGGGCCAACCGGCGACGATGCCGCGTCAATTGCGATTCCGTCACGGGCATCGCGCCGGTGAATCAAATTGCAGTGGCGAGAAGAAAAGCGCGGCGATTCGCGAGCATCGCCGGTCATCTGGTCGTGGGCGGTTTTATGAATGATATTTTAAAGCCACGCGGCTTTCGCGTCATCGCATGAATGAAACCGGCATTTGTCATACACGCACCGCTTTAGGGACAGATGCACGAATAATATCAACGCTCGTGTGCGATAATTGTTAGCGGTAACGTCCTAATAATGTCCGTCGCGCAGACATCGCTCTATTTATCAGCCTCTTGTACAAGTGAATTGCGAATACTGTTTAGACCAGTGTAAGTGCCGAGCTTTAATGGATTTTACTCGCGAAACTTAGCTAATAATGGATAACCGTAGATAACTGCAGTAATAACTGAGACGCGAAGGAAGAAACTTTTAACGGGTTTCGTTAAGCGCTCGGGGATCGTTTTATCTCTGTTATCTTGTGTATTTTCTTCGTAGAAACCGAAAAGTATTATTGTAATAACGGCAGACTTAAGGAAAAATTGGTACATTGAAACAAAATGAATAAAATTCTTATTCGCCTCGTTATGAATTTGCTATCAGTAGTAAATATAAATATGTATATATGTAATTACGTGTATATATGTATATATATGTAAATAGGAGATGTAACTTCACTATTGTCGAGCCCAAATCCAAATAATAACGAGGAGGGTATCTCGTCATATAATTATCATTTTTTTTAATGAGAATTTTTTTGCTTTCAATTATCGTTACATTATATTCGATATAAATTATCTCTTGATTCCACAATGATTTTATTGTTCTTAAAGCGAAATCTGTTTAGTGGAAAAAATTTATTGTTAGATCGTGTAATCGTTGCGAGAAAAGATTTGTGATTGAATTTGAGTGTTGAAAACCTGCTGTCTCATAATAGAGGAACTTCCCCTAATGGTGTATTTCGGTTTCGACGAAGAAGTGTACATAAGAAAACGAAAAGGATCCCCCGAGCGGTAACGAAACCCAACTAAAGGTTGTACCCTCCCTCGTCTCGGCTCCACGGAATTCGATAGCTGTAGATATTTTGGTTTTCATCCGACCCGTTCGACCGGAGCTAATCTCTTTTCTTGCTCGTATAACACTGCATTTTCAAGATAAAGATCTTCAAACCGGCGTCCCTCGAGCACTCGTTGAAAATAACAAGTTCAAACTTAACGCGTCCCTTACGACATCTCCGTGCGATTTCCAAATATACTTGGCGATAATATTTTTTATGGTCGTTTTCCTCCATAGATTCTTCCCCTCTTTATCGCTCTATTTGGTGATATAATGCCTTATCTGCATCGCGTTAACGTGCCCGCGTTGTAACAGGAGTACAATGCTTCTACACAGAACGACGGACGGTGGAATCGTACACGATAACACCAGTGATAAGACGAGCGAAGTAGGCAATAAGCGGACGGGAAGGAAAAATTGTACGCCAAGTATTTCAGACTGTAAAATTTTATCATCTAATTACCAAGGATATTTTCGCTTGTCATTTAGACTTAAAGGACGTGCGTGATCGTCTCTTACTCGATGTATACAGTTTGCCTCGCGATCCAAATGTCCACGCGCGCAGAGAGTCGTTAAGAGAATAAACATTTAACACGGACATTTATTCGAATTATAGAATTTGACTTGTGCGACCTGTCGATTTTGTCCCTTAAACAGGTTTATGTAATCCTCGGCACTTGAACTGCGGGATAGTTCTCTTATCAGTCGCCGCGACTCGCCCGTTATCGTCGACGACTGCACGAAGTTGTCGATACTTGCGAAACGTGGCTCAGCGAAGCGGAAAATTAATCGCGATTACCTGTACGAATCTGCGTTAGTTGTCGCCTGATTAAACACCATTTATGAACCGTTATCGGAATGCAAAGCATGCAATTTGATCATTGTAGAAAACAGGGCTTGTTATTAATTATAATAAGAATATAGTATTTAGTACACGGAGAGAATTTTCTATGTTAAATTGTTTGAGCAAATAATATAGCGGAGGATTGAATTAAGGAACATTGAATGGGGAGAAGTTCAGGGAACAAGAAATCGGCCTCGACAAGACCAAATGTTGTCACGGCGAGAGATAACGTGAAATTGTTATCGCTGCCAACGATCCAAGAGGCGATCTTCTTGACATAGATCGTTTCTAGCGCTCCGAAGTCGATGCGTATTGCTAGCACGTGTCCCAACATAAATAGTGCGGTACTATTTACTTTGCCGCTTATTTATAAGCGCATCGGTGAATGTGAGTGACGAGGGAGTGCGTCTGAGAGTGCATCGGAAAGTGCGCCTGACAACGCGAAACTACTTGGACTGTTAGATGTATTTATATCTTGTAAAGTCGCGCGTCGGGCCCCTTTCATTGTCAGGGCGAGAGCGAGCCATTGTATTCTCGTAATTTGCTCTCTTAAGCTGATTTAATTACTATTTTATCTCGTCACTTGAGATCGTTTCGTCTAATCTTCGAACACAATGAAATGATTGAATAGAAATCCGGACGTAATGTCCAAATCTCCAAGTTAGCTTGTAAATAAATTCGAAGGAATTGATAAATTTGGAAGCTTAGGCGAATTTGAGTTTAATATCTTTCGATTGTTTTGTGATCTGTTGATAACTCTCAGTAAAGATCCAAGCAATTTACATGCACGCATAAATTAATACGTACGTAATAGGTTTAACGAACCCTTGATAAAATCAATTATGCGGCGTTGAAAAGCGTCTACGAGCTAATTCGCGGAATCATTTCTTACATATGACGAATTATTCGCAGAAGTGAGAAAGGAGGCAGAAGAGAGCGGGAGCACGAGTACGGCCACGGAGAACGTCGTGGAAAAGGGGGAGGTTGAGGCGACGAAGGAGGGCGAGAAGGAGAAGAATGAAGACAATAAAAATAGTGATAAGAGCGAGAAGGAAGCGGACGCCGCTGACAAGGAGAAGGATGCCTCGAATGAGCAAGAAGTTGTTTTCATTCAGGACATGGGCTTCACCGTCAAGATCGTCAGCCCCGGTTCTGAGCCCTTTGACATTCAGGTGTCCAGCATGGAGCTCGTACAGGTAACATCGTTTGCCGTCCGATTGGTAAAATTGTCACTTGTACACTAAGGTCATGTTGTTTAAATTATCAATTAGCTATCGTTAGTTAATCAACGCTTTGAACTTAATTTTGCTCTCCAACTGTTTATTTTTAATAGTAATCAGATCTCCCACGTTTCCATTCATCGCTTTGTTTCATATATTTTCTCAATATTATATTGAAAGGAGCTGATCAAGCTCCTCAGCAGATGACAGGATAAAGCGGTGGCAAGCGCGCGAAAGCTACAACAAGTGCGCCAAAATAAGAGCGGACGAAATGAAGGTCCCGCGGTCCTTCCAGGACAATCGCGTGCGAGAAAAGACACTCTTTGGTAGAAGGCGAAGTAGACATGTCGCACTGCTCGTCGAGAGTCTGTTAAATAGCGAAAATGTAATTCGAGTTCATACAATATGATTCTATTAGTTTTGAGATACAGTGTTCAGTTCTTAGCACGATCCAGAGTCCGATCCTTTATTATAACTCGTCGCGATTAAATCGGTAGCAAATCGGTCGCGGGAAAGTTCCGAAAGTCACGGGCAACGCGGTCGTTAATATCGAGACAAAGAAATGCTCGCCTACCTCGCACAAAGGGGAACGCGTGACCCTTCCGGTCAAAAGCAATATATGGAAAAATAAAACGAGAATCAGCTTGTATTCGAATTTTATTTTCGCGGCCAGAAGAATAGAAATTTGAACTTGTAGATATTTAGGGAATTTCTCTTACAATATCATGTTTGTGTTAAATTTTTCGAGAGATTTCGGAAAATTATTTCGATGAGATTAACGCCGGAATAAACCAGTATCTTTGCTTTTTACTAATGTCTTTTCTTTGCAGGAAATTCATCAGTTGCTTATGGACCGCGAAGACACGTGTCACCGCACGTGCTTTTCACTGCAGCTGGACGGCAACACGTTGGACAACTTCGCCGAGCTGAAGAATATCGAGGGCCTGAAGGACGGCTCGATCATCAAGGTGGTGGAGGAGGTGTACACGATGCGGGAGGCGCGCATACACGTGCGACACGTACGCGATCTGCTCAAATCCGTGGATCCCGCGGACGCTTACAACGGGGTCGAGTGCAGCAGCCTGTCGTTTCTTAATGTCGTCACGAACGGCGATATCCTAGAGAAGAAGAAGACCCGGGCAGATTCGGTCGATTGCACGCCACCCGATTACATCATACCCGGTTGTAGGGATCGGCCCCTGTTGCCTCTCCAGCCGCAGGCGAAGGAACAAAAGTGCCCGCCGTGTCTCAAAGTACGAAATTCTTGAAGTCACTCAATGATCTAATAGAGGCTGGGAAAAGACTAAAATAAGGAAGGATAAGTTGCATATTTAGCGGCATTATTAATATTTTTTCTAATTTTTTTTAAAAGTCTAAAAAAGACTCGAAGAACTTGATAAGTTTGGATGCGAGTGTTCCATCTCGTAAATATTGGAAAATCTTTCCGTAAATCTCGAGACTACAACTTGGATAAGTTTATTGAAGAAACGTAAAGATTTTGTACGTTCATTTGAACCGATAAGAATTAATTGCTTTGAAAAATTATTCAATGACGACTAAGTATTTTTTTATTTTTAAGAAATACAAAATTAGATTTTATTTTTACCGAGAAAGAGAGACGAGAGAGTTTTCTAAATTGCTGTTGCATCTTTCCCAGGTCCTAACAACGTCAGGATGGAATCCACCACCTGGCTATAGAAAGCTTCACGGCGATCTGATATACTTGCATGTAGTCACATTGGAGGATAAGCAATATTATTTGACCGCGTGTGCTAGAGGCTTCTTCGTCAACCAGTCGACTAAAGAAGTGTTTAATCCTAAACCAGCTACGCCTAGCCATTTGTGCCACAGCTTGATCGAGTTGTTGAATCAGCTCAGTCCAACCTTTAAACGAGGATTTGCTTCTATGCAACGGCGCAGGACTCAGAGGCATCCCTTCGAGCGAGTGGCCACGCCTTATCAGCTGTATGCCTGGAGCGCACCGCAAATCGAACACACCATTGATGCAATTCGCGCGGAAGACAGTAAGTTCTGAAAAAAGTGAAGAAACTTTTCTAATATCTAATCAGAAAGAAGTTAGTTAGCCAAAGTCTATTTCATTTAGCTATGTTACATTTGGTTTTAATCACTCGAAAGTGTTAATGGATTATAATAATATCGCTTGTGAGAAGTATTATAGAAATTTAATTTAATTGACCCAATTTTTTTTTTAGCTTTTTCCTCCAAGTTGGGATACGAGGAACACATCCCGGGACAAACGCGTGATTGGAACGAGGAGCTGCAAACCACGAGGGAATTGCCGCGTAAAAATCTTCCCGAAAGATTGCTACGAGAGCGTGCGATCTTCAAGGTATTGTCTTCTTCTTGAAGATGACATGATAATATACAATATACTTTAAAATAGTAGTACGAACAAAAAACTATATTCTTTACCTTTTATTAATTTTTTCATCATTCCTTTTTTAATTATAAAGTCAGTTTATAAATGTACAATAATACTTTTAAAGCTGAAATAATAAAATAATGATAAAAATAAGTTATTTTTTAAATAGTCGTAATAAGTTCTTAAATAACTTCTAACAATTAATATTGCTACATTGTTTAGGTCCACAGTGACTTCGTGGCGGCCGCGACTCGCGGAGCAGTGGCGGTTATCGACGGCAACGTGATGGCGATCAATCCTGGCGAGGAGGCCAAAATGCAGATGTTTATCTGGAACAACATCTTCTTCTCGCTCGGCTTCGATGTGCGCGATCATTACAAGGAATTGGGTGGCGACGCCGCGGCCTTTGTCGCGCCTCGCAACGATTTACAAGGTGTCCGAGTGTACGCGGCTGTGGACTTGCCCGGTCTCTATACTCTTGGCACCGTTGTCATCGATTACAGGTGCGTTTCCCAGATTTCTTGCGGTTTTTAAAAATTAGTTTTCGTAATTAATAATCTGTTCTTTGTGACGTCCAGAGGCTACCGCGTCACCGCGCAGTCCATCATACCAGGTATACTGGAACGCGAGCAAGAACAATCGGTGGTCTATGGGTCGATCGATTTCGGGAAGACGGTTCTCACGCATCCTAAGTACCTTGAATTGGTAAGTGAACAAAATGCATAAGTAAAATCTGTACAATGATAATGAAATCAGGGAAAAATATTGAGAAAAGGATAAAATACTAAATTAATAGTTTTCCTTACTGTTACAAATGGTTAAGGAATTGATTTATTAGTTACATCAGTTTACCCACTTTAATCTTATTTCTACATTTCTCTTTTGCTTAATTTCTTTAATAAATTTTCTTAAATTTAATTAAGTTTTTTATTAAAGGAAAATGTTAGTAGTTTTATATAAATAATTGCTATATTATAATTTAATCTTATTACTCAAGTATCTTTAATACTCGCGTTTAGTTAAACAAAGCTGGGCAACAGTTGAAGATCCTTCCTCATAAGGTGATCAACGATGCAGGCGAGGAAATCGAACTTTGCAGCAGTGTGGAATGCAAGGGTATCATTGGTAACGATTCGCGGCATTATGTGCTTGATTTGTTGAGGACCTTTCCACCCGACGTAAATTTTCTAAAACGTAAGTCGAGATCTGCTAATTCTACCATAGTGTGAAAGAGAAGTCGGTTTACTTATTCGGGAAACATTCTTCTCGTTCAGTCGAGGGTGTGGAACTGAGCAAAGAAGCACGAGCCTTGGGATTCCCAGTGGAACACAAGCACAGACTGGCCTGTCTACGGCAGGAACTCATCGACTCGTTCGTCGAAGCCAGATACGTTCAATTTATCAAGCACGCGGCCGTTCATCTTCAACAGCTTACATCAGCTAGAAGATCTCAAAAGGAAAAAGATGCGATTACCGCCAAGGTATGTATTAATAATATTTTTCACTATTATATTTTATTTTTTATTGTACTTATACCTTATTAAATGCGAATAACTTGAGATAATAGGTACAGAAGGTAATACAAACTAATAATTTTAGGAAGATAAGAAGGAAGAGAAGGATTCAACTGCCGTTGTAACGGTGGACAGTAACAAGGAAGACTGCGCACAATCTCTAATAGAGGCCGACGAGGCTAAGAAGATTGTCGAGAGCATCACCGACTCGATCACAGGCGGCGAAAAGCAAGAACGTGCGTATTATATATGTATACTTTTTCCTACACACATTGATAATATAGGATCGTAGGTGTGAAGAAACAGAGTTTTATTCCTATTGCCTTTAGGATTTTAATAAGTGTGAAAATTTGTCAGGATTGTATCGATATTGAAGTAAAGTTAGGAAAAAAGATTGAAAAAATAAATTATAAAGAAATATAATTTATAATACTTTGTTATAAGAACGAGAGAGAAAAGGTTTTATAACGAGGTTTATTTCTGGGCGACAGTCGAGGAGAGCACGAAAGAGATAGTACGAAGAGCGGCGGCGGCGGTGGGCAGTCTGCGAGAAGCCGAGTTCGACGTGAGATTCAATCCGGACGTGTTCTCACCTGGCGTCAAGCATCCGGATCTCAGTGGCCCCGATCTGAAGAAGCAGAAGCAGTTGGTGAAGGATGCCGCGGACTTCTTGCTCACTGCGCAGCTACCGACTTTCGTAAGTTTGTCGTAAAGATTTAACAGTGCAATTTTTTACCATCTCTGCAATTAGATACGAAAACGTGGAATTACTTCTGAATGTACTTGTAATTGTACAATTGTATTCCTTTTTTCTCAAGTAAATGTTTGTTCCAGATACGGGAGTGCCTAGATCACACGGCGGCCGCGATGGACGGTAGTACGTTAGTGGAAGCTCTCCATGGTAGAGGCATTAACGTTCGCTATCTCGGTAAATTGGCGGCTATGTTAGCCGCGGTGCCACAGTTGCATTATCTCAATCGCATTGCTGTATCTGAGCTGATCCTCCGATCGGCCAAACACATTTTTACCTCTTACATGCAGGTGCAATATTTAAAAATAAAATTACGGCATGTTTCACAAGCACACAAGAGACATTTGTAAATGTATCACTTTATATACAGGGTACGGAACTGATGAGCCTGTCCGCGGCCATCAGCCACTTTCTAAATTGCTTGCTGTCCTCGGCACAAATTATACACCCGCAACAAAATCTAGAAGAGGTACGATCAATTGCAGTACATTTATAATTCATGTAATTATGAATTAACTAATTAACGATCAAGAGAATTGAGTTTCAATTGCAAGTTGTAATGAAAACTACGACGAATTATGGTTACCGAGAAGATTGTACTTTGTGTAATTAAATTTTAGTAGATAAGTTGATGTAACTTTTTATTTCAGCTTCAGAGCAAAACTGCTAAACGCCGCAATAAACGCAAGGGGAGAAACAACGGGCCGCAGCAGTCGGAAGTAGAGTGGGCATCGTTGACGCCCAAATCGTTATGGCAGCAAATTAAGGCTGACTTAAAGGCTTATTACGACTGGGAGACACCGAGCCCGGAATCGTTAGAAGCCACAATAGAACACTATCACCTACAAAAAATTTCATTGTTGCGTGGCTTCTGCGTCAAGACTGGTATTCAGATACTGCTACGCGAGTACAACTTCGAAAACAAGAACCGGGCGACGTTCTTCGAAGAAGACATATTGAACATCTTCCCCGTTGTCAAACATATCAACCCTAGAGTAAGTAGTCCATCTTAAATAAATACAAACGAGACAATTCGTTACCTAATAGCTAATCGAAATTTTAAAAGACAATTTCTTAGGCAATCATTTGTTGAATTCATAAACGCTCGAGCTTTAAATTTTAAAAGAATGCATTTTTTATTCAAATTAATATTCGGATATTTAAGGAGTCTCTCTTTAAATCTTTAATAATCAAAATACTTTTTGTTCAAGTCAAAATTGCGTGTGACAGTAAAGTACGATTTCAACTCAACTTCTTTCAGGCTAGTGACGCTTATAACTTTTACACTACCGGCCAAAGCAAGATCCAACAAGGATACTTAAAAGACGGATACGAGCTGATCAGCGAGGCGTTGAATCTCTTGAATAACGTCTATGGTGCCATGCATCCTGAAATTGCACAGTGTCTTAGAATGCTGGCAAGATTGAACTACATAATGGGTGATCATGGGGAGGCACTTGGCACCCAGCAGAAGGCAGTCCTCATGTCGGAGAGGGTTAATGGCATCGATCATCCGTACACCATCACAGAATATGTAAGTTATACCAATCATACTATCTCTCTCAGAGTCGTAAATTCTACAATTGTTATATTCATCATCATAACCGGCTCTACAGCCCCAAGTGGGCCCTGGCCCTGAATTTTTACGGTGAGGGGTTGCTAGCCTCTCGCCAACCCCTTTTTCGAAGGACCATTTCTTCTTCGTCAGCCCTGACCCCATCTTCCGTTAGGGAGTTCTCAGTCTCCGATAAGGTTGCTCAGGTTACCAGGGTACACCCACTTAAGCTACTAACATTACCGAAAGAAACCTCCACCCTGGAGGGCTGTACCCCTAAAGGGGTATGTGTGGCGAGATATTCTCGGTGGTTGTCATTTCCCATCGAGAAGTGGCGTCCGAAATCCGAAAAAACCAGCGGTGTCCGTGGCTGGATTTGAACTCGGATTTTTTCGTTTATTTATTTACTAAGCAGCGCACATTTCTTTGCGCCACGCTCGCCACTCCAATTATACTAAAATAAATAACAGTTGTAGTAATAACAGTACAAAGTAAAGGAATAATTTTAATATATCTTCTAAATTGCATAGAAAATATAAAAACAGGTAATATAAATGATATAATATTCTGTGCGATGTGTAATAATAATGTATTATTTGTGCTTGCAGATTCATCTCGCCTTATATTCCTTTGCCAACGGGCAAGTATCTGTATCATTAAGATTACTGTACAGAGCACGTTATCTAGCATTATTAGTCTGCGGTGAGGATCATCCGGAAGTGGCCTTGCTTGATGTAAGTCTAATATCAGATAATCTCGGAAATTTCCTGTATAAAAGTTACAAAGTTATTTTACATGTGTTTTATGTAATTATAAAATAGTTTTATGTATTCTTTAAAACATCATAAATTTATCAGAAAATTGTAATAATAATATCGTATATGTTTCTTTCAGAGCAATATCTCGTTGATCCTGCACGCGGTCGGCGAGTACGAGTTGTCGTTGCGTTTTCTAGAGCACGCGTTAGCCTTGAATCTACGTTATCACGGTTCCCATTCGTTGAAGGTTGCGGTATCGTACCACTTAGTGGCACGCACGCAGTCATGCATGGGCGACTTCCGAGCGGCGCTGAACAACGAGAAGGAAACCTACGCGATTTACAAGCAACAATTGGGCGAGGAGCACGAAAAAACGAAGGAAAGCAGCGATTGCTTACGCCACTTGACTCAGCAGGCGGTTGTGCTGCAAAAGAAGATGAATGAGATCTACACGGGCAAGTCAGGCGTAAGCTTGCCACCGATTCAGGTGCAGCCGCCTAGCATGGGCTCGGTGCTGGACATGCTCAACGTTATCAATGGCATCCTCTTTGTGCAAATCAGTCAGCAGGACATCGATAACTTCAAGGCGGAGATTGAGAAGCGGCAGAAGGAACAGTCGCCAGATGGCGGCGAGGCCGTCACAGCAATCGCTGATAAGGATACCAAGAAGGATGATAAAGAAATCAAGAAATCAACGGAGAAGAAAGTCGAGAAGATCGAGCAAAAGACAACAAACGACTTGGAAGCTAGCAAAACTGACGTCTTAGAGTCAGACGTGGCGGCGAAGAGCTGAGTCTTTCGTTCGCCGACGACGAACATTAGTAGTCTTTCCTTTCTTTTTTTCTAAATCCTAGTCCTTCGTCGTGGAAAATGATGATTTCGCGCGAGGATCGTCGCGTACGATATACATACTTGCATCATTTTTGTTATACTGTTTTAAACGGAATCAAGATAAAACGCACGAGTACTGTTGTGGGAAATGTACTTGCAAAGATAAAGAGAGGGATGTATCTGCCGAGGTTGAATTTGCATTCAAAATGCACATTTATATCGATTGTATATAAAGACACGGGTGCCATGTCGCTTAAAGGAAACAATCTTGAATGAAAATTATATCTTCAAGAAGTTAAGATATAAGAGATTGTTCCTTTTTCGCCATTGCGTAAAATCAAAAAAAAGCAATACGATTTCTTCAATTGTGCGCGCGTGAGACGACGCATTTTTTTTTAAAGCTCAAGTTGTTTACTATGCAAAATACCGGTGATTGAAATACGTCTACGGTACCGGTTGTTAATTTCGTCAAATTAATTAACGTTCAAACTCGACCAAATTCCGTATTAGACTCAAAACTAATATCTTCATTTTCTCTATTATTTTGTAAAGCGAATTCGCATCCTTTCGATACTCTCGAACGTGTTCGTATTCATCAGAAGCCGTCGTACACAAATTTACTTACAGATGCAGGCAGATAAATTCGCAAGAGACGTTGAGTATAATTTAGAAATTTTATTAAATATTTGTTGAATTTTGATCGATTATGTTAGTTGCGCAACGTAGATGTGTGTACACCGGCTTTAATTTACATTAGTATACATTAGCGCATACAATTATTGTAGTGGGTGATTTTTTGGGGATCGTTGGTACATTCACCACTTATTCTGGTACGTGTACCGCAACCATTACGCTGATACGTATTCTTTTCTGTACGTGCGAATTCAAGACTTGCTTAAACTTGTGTTTAACTGTGATTAAAGTACCGAGTTTAAGTTAAATTTAATACGAAACAAAGACGTAAGTTACGTTATTTTTATTCGTATTATATTTGGCGCATATTTGTAATCTATTAGAAACTTATAACAGACATCCTACTTCATTGCTAGGTATCCAGTATGGTGTCAACCAGCTAGATATCAAACGACTAGTCATTACTACAATTTACCAATCACGCGAAAATGTCCCGATACAGTTCGACATACATTTTGGTTGCTGTATCAGAGTCACGCTAAAATTGCCTTATTATGCGAATTCGCTTTCAGAGTTTTGTTCGTCTTTCCTCTTTGTGAGATCACCATATTGTGCCATTCAGGCATGTTGTTACTCCATCCTAATTGCCATCAATAAGAAAAAAAGAAAGTATTACGATATTTACAGTTAATCCATACACGTATAATCCGTTTTCTTTCATCTGTTATTACAGCGATTCGTGATCAAGTGCTTCCTCTTATTTTTTTATAGATATTCTTTCGTTCAAATAATTCTTGATTGACATGCCTGCTTAATATAAAGATATACTAGGTATCTTTAATGCGGTATCGAGAATGATGGTGATAATAATTTGATATAGCGAATGATATTGTTATCCGATCATATTCGTAATTAAGGATGCAATGGCCAATTGTTAATCGAGTCATTGTGCGTCGTAGCTGATTTACAAGTTTCGCGATTATAGTATTAAAGTCATAAGTAAAAGAACCGATTGTTACATCCCACTGTTAATATTCTATAATATAATTTATTTCGCCTGCTCCAGGGATCTATCCGCGGCCCGATTCGTAATCTCTCGCCGCGGCTCGACCGAAGAGCAGTACCGCGATATCGATAGTCCGATAGTAGCCGTATCGTGAGGTTTTTAATTATTGAAGAAAATAGTGCTGATTATTCCCGCTGCAGCCTTCGTAGATTTTATGCGAAATTTCAGGCCTGAAGAGAGCACAACGACAGTGTTTCTGCGGTGACAATAAAAAAAAAGCCCGGATCAATTTATCGATCGATCGATTCAGTCAATCTCTGTCACCGTCTCTTTCACGGACTCTTTCTCGCATCGCAAGAATAATCGTAATGACAAATTACCGCATTGCACTTAGCCAAATTGTACTATAAAGAGAGAAGTAATAATAATTATATAAGGGGGGAAATATATTATATTACAAATAAAATTACACAGACTTTACATATATCATGAAAGAAAAAGAACGTTACAAACTTAATTTACATATAGTATCCTGTTACAGACTTTCTTTAACATGTTGCATGGAATAAATTGTTTTATAAATAACACGGTGATCTAATTAAGAACCTTTGGAATCTTCTGCATCCCGTTTATCGCTCGCCAAATCCTTTTTATTGCCGGACTGCGACTGAAGTGGCGACTCTTCCGTTCTTTTTAACCTTTTCTGTTTTTCTCTCACTCCCAGGTTGTTTATCAGGTACTGTCGCAACGAATGTAATGCGTCCAAACCACCATACCCATTTTCGAACACCATCCATATCCTGAACATCTCGTCAGGTTGCGTAATTACATCCTGAGAATCATCAGAGCTTTCAGTCTCTACCCAGAGCTTACAAACGAGCAAGGGACCATCTTTGTCGGGTAATACTTTATCAGGGCTTTCTTCGTGTGGATCCTTCGTATCGTTTTCTGTTTTAATCGAAGTTTCTCCAGCGCACGTATTCATCTCGATACACTCGCCATCTTCGCCCCTCGTTCGTTTCAACGCAATCCGTTGCGCTAAACGCCGCTTTCTGCGCATATGCACCCATGATTTTTCTCTAGCAGTTATTTTACACGCCCAGTCCAAACTGTCTTCAGGGACGGGCAGGTCTTGCAATAGAATCTGTTACAATAATAAAATTGAAGCTGATGAAACTTTTAAAACTTAACTTATTCTCAATACATGTCAGCGGTAAGAAAAGTGATGCCTTACGTTTAACTCTTCCGCCGTTGCTCTTAAAAAGTTGATTATATCATCTATACAAGAGAATTTATCGTTCACCGGAAACGTTATCGAAGTTTTATAATTCTTTAACGAGTGCACCATGGACTTCCCGCGTTTTCTGATGACAGGTGCCGTGGCGAGATTTACAACACTTTGCGGTAGGAAGCTCCAAGCCAAACCCCACCTGTCGGCAAATATAATACGTAGCTTTAATAATCTCGTGGTAATCATGGCACAAAGAGTTATGCGCTACGCTAACGAGCCGAAGATTCGAGTTCTGGCCAGAAATTGTCGGCTCTTATTTCAACACGCAAAAATCAAACGTGATGTGATTAGCTAATCACCAATCTTGAAAACAAACTCTCTACAATTATTGTAACCTACGCTACAAGATCCTACGGAACGGCAGGATCGCGGGATTTATGAATCTTGAATAAGCTCCGAAGTAATTAATCAAATGTTTAGCGGTTATACGTAGGCTTGAGAGTTAGCAATAAATAATTAACGATATAACAAATTACTAACTCGATCAGATCTGAATTAACGGAGTCTCCCTGTTTGTAATAATTTAATAGATTTATTTACCGCGTTGTGTGCCCCTGGCAGAATTCCGTCCAGGTCATATTCTTTATATCCTTCGATCTTAGCAATCGTCTTAAACCGACGAGGTCGGCCTTCTTGCCGATCATTGTGCTGTAGATCCGTATTCGATCTCCCACCTCGACACTCTCCTCGATCATCCTCGTCACGAAGCCCACCTCGCCACCCTTGATTTTCAGCTCGCCGTCACTTCCAGTGGGCGCGTTTCTCGGTGGCAGAGCCTTGGCGATTCTTTCGAAGCCGGCGTCCTCGCTCTCAAAAAACGGCGGGTTGCACATCGAGAAGTCGTAATCTTCGCCGTCTCGCACCACGTCCTTAAAAATTCTATCGGAGTTCACTGTAATTACTACGTCAAGAAATTCCGTTACATGAAATTCTAACAGCGTCGACCTTTTTGCGCCTCTCGAGAGGCGAGTATATTTAATAGGACCTACTTTCAATTAAATCTTGCAGTTCATTTGTCCTTATACATTTCTGGGCGTACTCCACACTTCTCTTATCCACGTCCGTACCAATCATGCGACACTTGTAAATTTTTGCTAGCAATAGGGCGTATATACAAACCGCGCCTGTCCCTGTTTGAAACAAAATTGTAAAACGTTACATTCAACGCACAGGCATTTCGTAGACGGAGGGCACATGATACTACATTATTTTTAAATGCACATTGGCTGCGTTCAGCAGGCACAACTGTTGAGTGAGCGCTCAGTATGATTGGTTAATACTTTTAGATCCAGCCAATCATATTAAGAAATCATTGAGCGCTCACTCAACAGTTGTGTCTGCTGAACGCGGCCATTCATTACTTTAATATGATTGCAATATCTTTTCTATTTCCCCAAGTGCAACGTCCAAAAGCTTCGTCGACACTTGGAAGAGGCGTCTTCAAGTTCCGACAATCACCTATGTCGATGCCCTTCACCTTGTCCATCTCCAATTTGGAATGAGCCATCAAATCCTCCATCCACAATATATAATTCAGGCGCAGCGGGATCGCCGGATTCAGATTGTCCGCTGGGATGCTCACGTGCAGACCGAAGTCATGTTTCAGAAGAGTCTCTGTAAACACGTGCAGGGTCTTCCTGTCTTTGAAGTTGATCCTGAGTTTACCCGCGAAGTCCTAGGTAACCAATGCGGACAAAAAGGGTTTCATTCGTTTCACACGTCTCATCCAAGCGCGTTGGATCTACATTTATTCAATTCATGTAAAAATTATATAAAAGAAGAGACTTAAAAGTGTGTGTAGACATTGGCTACATTTTCTACAATTCTGTCTATATTCTAATGATTTTTTTTCCTTTTTAGATCTGAAGCGCATATTTACATTATTATTGCAATAACATGAGATATCAAATGCAATTGCGTCGCATCACAACTCATAAAATTTCATCTGCATTATTAAGGTAATGTTCATGTATTGTATTGCAATTTATAAACCGTAGAAAATATTATAGTACCATCGTAGCAATTCGGCAAAACTCCGGATACAAAACCGCGAGTTGTTTGTAGTCCGGCGGTCGTTTGTACTTATTTCTCGGATGGATGTACTTCTTGACGCTCATCCTCACTTCAAGTGGAAAGAATCGTTCGAAAAGATCAATTAGAATTGACGACCAAGTCCTCGCGTTTCCCGTGAGGAATCAAATAAAACTCCTCGAGATCGTCAGGTTTGTTTACTCGCTGCACTCGCTGCGACAGATGAACAGACTCAATTGCGGCCAATTGCAGCCGCCATCGAAAAGATACACCAGTGAGAACGTGGACCCGTTTGTAACATTCGAGTATTCGCCGCCATTAGTGAATAATTCCCGCGCGATGTGTATTTTGTGTGCGTGTTTGAATTATATATGTTTAAAATTAAATATATAAAATTATATGTGTTACATGTATTAATTATAAAGTTATTGAATTAAATATATAATTAATAATCATTAAAAAATGTTCAAATAATTTTTAAATAATCGCTCACTCAACTGTTGGAGCTAACTAACATCAGATCTCCACAAACTAACACACCCTTCTGACTTTCGCTATTTGATCAAATTTAAAAAATATACATTCTATGTGACATCTAAGTTCTTTGTTTAACTATTGTGTGAGATATTTTGTAGAATTTACTATTACTTACAGATAGTTGATTATTAAATAGCACTTAATAAAATTATGACTTTTTCCGTGAGAAGATTTTATTTGTACTTGAAAACAAAATTTGATTAGAAGTTTTGACTAGAAACAACAAATTTTATTATTAATCATTTTACGACAAGTATAAAAAATAGTCGAAAAAGATAGAAATAGTGATATTAATAATAAAGATAATTAATAAAAAAAAAACGACTGTAGGTAATATTTATTCGCTCTTGCACGTTGTGTCGCAAGAACTTCATCAAGGTGATCATTCCAGATGATCAATCACCCACTAACTTATATATACCGAATAGATGTAAGATTCAAACATTTTGATTACAGGAAATAACTGAGAGAGAAACATCGAATATAACAATTAATAAATGATTTTATAACTTAACAACGATCATATATGTACGTAAATAATGATTTGCTACGGCTTATTGTGCTGTAACTCCGATATCGCTTACAGTTACAGTGCAGAACGAGTTCTCGATTAATTTCAGATCCTTCCAAACTTTAATCGTACGTGTTTCACCATATCGCCTCGATATCAGCAACCTCGTGGCTGGTATCCTCGCCCAATATTTTCCCAACGCCGGTGTTATATCTGCGGTGTTTGTTTGCCCCGGTGAGTCCCACCGGGTGATCGAATTCACAGTAATTACGACTGCCTGGCACTCCCTCGTGAGGAATCGACATACCTCGGCCAAATCGTCGAGCTCGTAAGTCGTCTCGTTATCACCGTATGACGCGTTTCGCGTTACCTCAATGAAACATAATTGATTAAAAAAATATATATAAGCATTCATATAAATTTCAATATTAATTTCCACGTCACGAAATTAATATTAAAAGTATTAATTACATCTTATGTTACTTTATATTACATTAAAGTGACTTATAATATACTAAGTTAAATAACACAAGCCTTGAACTGATGATTTCAATATGAATTTCAACATTACGAAATTAATATTGAAGTCATAAGTTCAGGACTTGTGTTATTTAACTTAGTATCTTACAAGTCACTTTAATGTAATATAAAATATAATCAATACTTAGAAAATTATGTAAACTGCTAACAATTAGATTTGTGTATAAAGATACCTTGAAGATAACTGCCGGTAAGGAATCGATGATCACGAGAAGGGTCTTTTTCTCTTCGAAAGACGCATCACCCGGCTCCCGTTTGCAAAGAGTTACCAATTGTCGCAGGGCACGTATCAATTCATGGGAGGAACGCGCTTGACAAATCTTCGTACCGCGCAGTGCATCTTCTATGACCTGCGAGAGAACAAAACGGACTCGTTTCTCAGAATTCAACAATACTTTTAAAGACAATGAATAATCGTGTGAAAAGCTTATTTTAGAGACCTGGATTTGTTAAATTACTGCTCTTTCTGTTCGTTAAAGTATTACATTTTTTGTTATCACATGATCATGATGCGCAATACGCGCTTTTATGAACGTCTAATCGTTAGTTCCCAGCAAACATTTTGCGCGCAAACATCTGGCATTATGACGACGCACTTGGATAGAATATATTTTGCTTGCGTTGTTGAGCCATTTTTGTACGTGAGTTGATGGATATTTGCGCGCAAAATTATACGTTAATACATGAGCCAGCCACTTGCGTGCCAAAGCACAGACTAAACATATCTTACGGACAAATCTCATACAAATTTGCATGCATAAGACAAGCAAAATTTGCGCGCAAGAATTGTTATCTGCCCAGCAAACACCAAAGTAACAATTACATAACATCAATGCAAAGGTAATATAACAGTCATGTGTTATATTACATTTATATTGATGTTATGCAACTGTTCCTTTGGTGTTTGCTGGGTGGGTTATAGCTGTTACCTTTGGCGTGTAATTTCTAGCCTTCATGATCTGTTCGTATCGCATTCTAGAGAAATCTTTCTTCGTATCGAAATACCATACGACGCCCGAGCGACCAGCGACGTTAGCTGCCACCGTCAAACATAGTTGAGTCTTCCCGGAGGCTGTGGGTCCGCAAAACTCGCACAGCTGTCCCGGGTACAGGCCACCCTTCAGCAATTCGTCCAAACTATCGCATCAAGAACGAGACGTTAGAAAATGACTAAGAAAATGAAGTGCGTTTTATCTTCTTCGTGAAAGCAATTGTATAATATTTGAAATTTTTCACATCGGGCAATCTTTCTCAGTCAGGATCAGTTTGATTGGGAGACGACTCGTTGCAAACGCACCTCGTTACGTTGGTCGAAATTACGTTGCTGCGTTCCAGCGTGAGCTGCTGCTTTGCGTTCCTCTTTGTACCACCAAATTTCTTCAGTATGTGTTGCGTTATTTGCAGTATATCCTACAAATTATAATATAATTGTACTGGATTCGCACTTGAACGAGCCAACTTCACTATCTTCTCTAATTCTTTCGCTACATTTCGCTCGATCTTTCGAACGGGTCAAGTGGATTAATGTCGTTCAAGAGAAACTCAATTTCTGAGGCAAATGCCCAGTAAACACCAAGTAACAGTTACGTAACATCAATATTATAAATTCCTACTCAACAATGTAAATGTAACGTATATAATAAGCGTGTCATATTATATTTACATTGCTGAGTAGGAATTAAATTATAATATCGATGTTACGTAACTGTTACTTGGTGTTCGCCTGAGTTTCTCTGATCGGTAGAATAATTATCCGATAAAACTGATCTTCATTTCTTTTTTTTCCGCCTTTTTAAACGACAGTGACACGCATTTTCTGGCGCGGCAGATTTGCATTTTAAATGCCTTATTTACCCGCGTCTACCGTCTTTTCTTTGCAGAACACGTACCGTGTGCGTAAGACCGGTGAAACTCGCCAGTTTAATCGGATCCGCCGAGACAAAATCAACGACTGTGACCACGTTCCTCCGTCGCAAACTCTCCGTCACCGTTTTCGACAGACTCGGGTGAACATCCGCGTCCAATTTGGTCATCTTTTCTTCAATCTGCAAAGCGAAAGCATCGCGGTACAGAGAAATTCTCCCTGCGGAAAGGAAGACATTTTGAAGTGCATTAAAGAAATTAATGCGTGGGTGTGTGCGTGGGTATCCCTTGCAGAAAGGTATACACTTGGGAACGAGGAAAACACTGGAACAATTACTACAGTTCAGTAATTGAATCATTAGAAATTAGTGATGTACAAGTAATTTTCCAGTAATTATTTCATTTACTTTCCTGCAAGGGATCTCCCACTACCCCCCCCCCCCCCCATCTCTCTCCTATTGAAATCCGCGCGAAACACAGGTCTTTTACTGCTTGGATAGTTCTTATTTAAAAATTTATCATATTTTCATGTACACGCACCGGCATAAATGCTGTCCCTATCCCTGTGAGGTGCACGCACACAACTACAGGGACTCTAGTTGTGTGCGTGCACCTCGCAAGGATAGGGACAGCATTTATGCCGGTGCGTGTACAATTTTAATTCTCCGCTAGACGAAGTACATGCACGTGGACAAATGAAAGCCTTGCAAATTAAAAAGTGTACCAATTGCTTCCGGTAAGATCACATTCTAAGCGTATTATTTCTGAGGAAAAAAATTATTTTGAACCAACGTGATAATGAACAGGAACGATGCCGCCGATGTAAAAGCGGCCAACTTGAGAACGCAGAGGCGTTTGGAATGTAGATACACGCGATTCGTACCCTAATAAGTTTAGAGCAGGGAAATGTAAAATTGTTTATAGCCTCAGGGTACTTCGTGCTCAAAGTAACTTAAACAAGTGCGTTTAAAATTCGGCGAAAGAGCGAGAGAAGCTTTAACGCGGTCCAGGGTACCATATCGTGGAAATGAGATTACTTGAAGAACTTGAAATCCGGGACCGAAGCGTCGTTTGTCTTCTAAACAAAAGCATTGGCCAGTCTGGATAGTTTTTGAAAAACTGCATATCGAAGATGAGCGTATATTCCGACACGCGCACCCGCGTCGCGCATAATTTTCGAAAGGCGCTATCTCGCGCGCCTCAGCGCTCTTCCTTCCGGCGGTATCGAGCGGCCACGAGCCGCCAATCGACGACGGGGCACCCGCCAGAGGCCAGCCAAGGGCACCGGCACTGCCGGCCCGCGTGCGAGTCCCAGAGTGCTGCCGGACGTCTCACCTCGACGGACGTGCGTCGCCCACCGTGGGGATCCCTGGCCACCAGCCGCCGTTTCGTGGACGCCCCTCGTGCCGGCACGGGGGACCCCGGGCTCCCGGGATGGCGGTCGAGATTCCCGCGCGCAGGAATGCCGCCCGCCGGCGGCGGCGGCAGCGGCGCGCGCCCGCCCGCCGCGAGGGACGCACGTGCGCGCACGGCGAATCGACGATCGAACGGCGCACCGCCCGCACTCGTCGGCACCGGCTACGCGCGGCACCGACGGGGACGGAGTGACTCGGAAGAGGATCGATGCACGTATGTATGTTCGTACGCGTATGCACAGGCCGAGCGAGCGAGCGAGCGAACGGCGACGCGCCGCGACGAGAGACGGGAAATGGGCACCGCCGTCCGCGGATGCCACGTGGCGTCGTGTGCTCGAGATCGGCCCCGCGTCCATCCCCGTCCCACGTCCTTCGTCCTCCCGTGCTCCGGGGTTTCGCTCCCTCGAGCCTCCACCCTCTGCCCTCTCCTCGCCGGAAATCGGTCTCTCTCTCTCTCTCTCCCCTCCCCCCCTCCTCTCTCTCTCTCTCTCTTTTTCCCCCCTCGACTCCCCGCGTCGCTTTGTCCGGAGCGCGGACGAGTTGGAACGCGCGCGCGGCCGCTCTTTCCGCGTTTTCCCTGCTTTCCCCGTTTAAATAAGACGAACTCGCACTTCGGCGAGAGAAGGCAGGAGAACGGGGTGTAAAGTCGAGTGTAGCGTGAACGAGATTTTATCTGAATTCCGTGCGCCTTTCTAAATTGTTGGGACGAGGATGCGTGTTTAGCGAAGCCGAGGCAGGGATCTTGCTCGAGCAAAAGTTAATTTTGACGGAAGTAGCGCGCCGCCGGTTACTTCCAGTGTAAAAAAATTCTTGGTCGGGGACGTACGTACCTGGAGATCATTTGACCGGAAGTGTGCGACGATTATCTTTTGAAAGGCCGACCGGGTCAACCGTCGAGTGGACCCGAGTCGAGTTTCTTTAGGCGCCGGGAGGAAAAGTGCAGGGGAACCAAAGGCTTGTTTTCTATTCCTGCACTGGTGAACTAGTGCAGTAAATTAGAGTGAGACAAGCAAATTTTTTTCTCATTCTAGCTTACTGCACTAGTTCACCAGTGCAGGAACAGAAAACAAACCTCAAAGCTGCACGGAAAATTGCGCGAAACCACGTGTCGGTTTAACTTGCTTTTCCAGTCGTCCCTGCGTACAACTGTATGCTGATCGTAGATAATTGAAATACGTATGAATTAAAGTGAGATCCGGATAATTACATGCGCGGCGTCGTAAAGGAAAACGACGTGCGCGCGGCTCCTCGTCGTCGTCGTCGAGCGAGGGGGGAAAAGAAGCTCGCGAAATTGAATGGCCATATTTAGCGTTAGGCGTGGGCGCGGGGCGCGCGGAGAGCGCGGGCGATTAAAAAACGAACAGACCCGGGGGATGTGAGTTGGCAGAATTGAGCCGCGCGTTCGAACGCAGCCGGGCGGGCCGGCCAATCGCGCGCGCCGTCGCGTGCCACGTTGCCGCGCGCAGCGGCCGCCGCCGGCCAATCGGGGGGGGAGGCGCGCGCGCGCGGCGGGCGCCATCTCTGCGCGGCTGGCGCAAACGCCGCCGGGACACTGCGGGGAAACGTTTCTCGGCCGCGGCCCCGCAACTCGTTTCGCAGCCGTCGCCATGTTTAGAAGTGTGTACGCGTCCTTGGGCGTGCGGTGTGACGATGTATCGTAAAATATTAGATATAGCTCATGCGCCGTATGTTACGTGAGGTACCCAATTGCGAGTCGACCCACGCGGGACACGGGCGTGACGATCATTCCCGTGGATGGCGCGTCTACGCCGCGGTAATTTGTGATTACATTATGGTAAGTCCTGACCCGTCTCGGGGCCAACGCCAACATGGCGGACGGGAGATTTCCTTTGTATCGCGCCGCGACCTTCCCCACCCGTCGGCGCGGAGCGTCGTCGGCGGCCCCGTTTCCTCGCGCGGCGCCGTCGGCCGCGACGCCGTCGACGCTCCGCGTCGAGCCGCCCGTCGCGTCTCCCTCCGTCTCGCTTTCTCGCTCGCCTCCCGACATATTTCGTCACCGGCGCTCGCCTCGATATAGCACATCGCTCCCTCGACGCACGCACGAACGTACGACGCTCTCCGGTAGCCCCCCCCCTCGCGTCTCCGCGCGATCCATCCGTCTCTCTCGCTCTCGAGGCTCGCCGGCGAGCGGTCGTCGCGATGACATACCTCGCCTCGTGAAATTCTCTTCTTTTTTTCCCCTCCGACGTCCTGTCGTCGCGCATTTCAAATTTCGCGTCTATCTTCTCCGCTCTCGCTCGTCCCCCCCCCCTTTTTTTTTATGAAACGCGAATTGACAACGTACTCGTGCACCGCGTTCTTCGACTTCGTCGCTTTTCCCTCGCTTTCCCACTCGATTCGTGTTTATAAACGATCGACGCCTCGCGCGAACGAGCGAGCTCGCCCAGCGAGTCGTCTGTTACTATCAATTTTTTCTT